CCAAACAATGACGACTTTGGATAATTTGGCGATCTTGCAGCCTATGAGATGTAGTATGAGGTGATCTTTCAGTCGTGCAGATGCAGTATGAGGTGATCTTTCAACTGTGCAGATGTAGTATGAGGCGATCTTTCAACCTATGAGATGCAGTATAAGGCGATCTTTCAGCCATGCAGATGTAGTATGAGGCAATCTTTTAGCCTATGAGATGCAGTATGAGGCGATCTTTCAGCCTATGAGATGCAGTATGAGGTAGTGCTTAGCCTTATTCAAGGGTGAAGGTAGATGGAGGTAGATCTTAACCTCGAAAGGCAGAATGGTAGCCTTATGCAATGTAAGAATGCATATCGAGGTAAAGTTTAACCTCCGAAGGCAGAATGGTAGCCTTATACAATGCAAAAAATGAATATGGAGACAGCGTTTAATCTCGGAAGGCAGAATGGTAGACTTATGCAATGCAAAAAATGCAGATGGAGACATCGTTTAGTCTCGGAAGGCAGAATGGTAGCCTTATGCAATGCAAAAATGCATGTGGAGATAGCGTTTAGTCTCGGAAGGCAGAATGGTAGCCTTATACAATGCAAAAATACAGATGGAGACAACGTTTAGTCTCGAAAGGCAGAATGGTAGCCTTATGCAATGCAAAAATGCATGTGGAGATAGCGTTTAGTCTCGGAAGGCAGAATGGTAGCCTTATACAATGCAAAAATACAGATGGAGACAACGTTTAGTCTCGAAAGGCAGAATGGTAGCCTTATGCAATGCAAAAATGCAGATGGGGACAACGTTTAGTCTCGTAAGACAGAATGGTAGCCTTATGCAATGCAGATGTAGACAGTGTTTAGTCTCGAAAGGCAAAATGGTAGCCTTATGCAAGAATAAAATGGCAAATGGTAGCGGAGATTTCTTAGCTGATAGCAGATTTCGATATTGTAATTGCTGGGGACATTGTGACATGCGAAATATCACTGGTGTGTGGGGATAGCAAATGTTGGTAAGTGCAACGGTTCTGAGAGTTGTATTCCTGAATAATGTTTGTTCCATGGGTGTATAGTCTGTTTGATGATCTCGCAATCCAAGTGCCTGCATCCAAAGAAAAATCGTGAGCTTTATAAAGGGGGAGGTTAGTTCGTATCCCTGTTGGCTTTGCTTGACCTGCTTGGCTTTAATCTGGTGATACTGTATGTATCATTGGGGTAGCATTGCTAAACATGCATGATTTTATAAAAAAAATATGACATAAATGTATATTTTTTTAAAAAAAAAACTTTTAGATGAACTGCTGACTGTGACGTGGTTCAGGACATTGCAACCTCTCTTGCCACGGAATTTTGAGGGTCCTCCTCAAAATTCTGTCCCAGTTTGATGGGTTGATGCGTCTGACTGTTGCTTGAGATGATCGGCTGAAATTACTTCAGAATTTTGAGGGTCCTCCTCAAAATTCTTCCACAGTTTCCAGTTGCGGGGGGAAATAAGAATTTTATTGAATTGTGACCGAACCCATAGGACTACCTACGTATCCCCTCTTAAATGGGAATCAGGTCAGGCGTAGTTCAATTTACTTCATATAAAGGAAGCATAAAGATTACACATTGTAGCGCTTGACTATATCTGAATTGATCAGCTTTGGCCAGACTTCTCCGTCCATTTCTACAAGTATGAGGGCTCCTCATGTCAGAACCCGGTGAACCATGACCCTGCCAGTTGGGAGAGAACTTCCCTTTGGCTTCGTCTTGATGCAGAAAAATCTTCTTTAACACCAGGTTCCCCAGTGTGAACTGTCTCGGCTTGACTCTTTTGTTGAAGGCTCTGGACATTTTGTTCTGATAGAGTTGACTGGCAGACTGCATTCATTCTCTTTCCGTCGATAAGGGCTAGTTGCTCACAATGACTTTTCACCCATTTTGCGTCGTCGAGCTCAACTTCTTGTATGATCCTTAGGAAAGGAATTTCTACCTCAGCGGGAATGACAGCCTCTGTACCATAAACCAACATATAGGGGGTTGTCGCGGTTGATGTGCGGACTATGGTGCAATACCCCAATAGAGCAAATGATAACTTCCCGTGCCACTGTTTATGCTTCTCTATCATTTTCCTCAGTATCTTCTTGATATTCTTATTGGCGGCTTCTACAACTCCATTCATTTGAGGCTTGTAGGCTGTGGAATTCTTGTGTTTGATCTTGAAAGTTTCACACATAGCTTTCATCAAGTCGTTGTTGAGGTTGGAGCCATTATTAGTAATGATTGACTCTGGAATCCCGAATTGACAAACAATGCGGTCGCGGACAAAGTCTGCCACGACTTTCTTAGTTACTGCTCTGTAAGATGCTGCTTCAACCCATTTGGTGAAATAGTCGATTGCTACTAGGATAAACCTGTGTCCGTTGGAAGCGGCAGGCTTGATTGGTCTACTGACATCCATTCCCCAAGCGGCGAACGATCAAGGTGAGCTTGTTGCATTAAGCTCATTTGGAGGTACCTTTATCATGTCCGCATGTATCTGATAGCGATGGCATTTCCGGATATACTGGATGCAGTCTGTTTCCATAATCATCCAAAAGTAACCAGCCCGGAGTTTTTTCTTTGCTAAGACAAAACCATTCATATATGGACCGCAGGTCCCAACATGAATTTACTCTAGTAGCCTGGATGCTTCTTTTGTGTCGACATACCTTAGTAATCCCAAATTGGGAGTCCTCCTATAAAGAATTTCTCCGCTGTGAAAGAAGTTGTTGTACAATCTCCGAAGCGTGCGCTTTTGAGTAGGATTTGCAAGCTCCGGGTACTCTCTTTTTGCCAAATATTTCTCGATATCATAAAACCAGGGTTTTCTATATGCTTCCTCTTTGACATGGGCACAATAAGCTGGCTGATCATGAATCTTTACTGGAATGGGATCAATGAAATTCTTGTCTGGATGTTGTATCATAGATGACAGGGTAGCCAATACGTCGGCGAACTCATTCTAAATTCTGGGAATATGTTAGAATTCTGTCTTTGTGAACCTTTTCCTCATTTCTTGTACATGATGCAAATACGGGAGTATCTTGGTTGCCCATTCTTCTCGTACCTGATGTATAAGTAGGTCTGAATCTCCAATTACTAGCGACTCTTAAACATTCATGTCAATGGCCATTTTGACTAGGATGCAAGCTTCATACTCGGCCATGTTGTTGGTGCACGGGAACCTATTTTGGCGAACACCGGATAATGCTGACCGGTTTCCGATACTAAGACTGCTCCTATGCCAAATCCTTTGAAATTTGCTGCTCCATCGAAAAACAATCTCCAACCATCATAGGATTCTGTAATATCTTCTTCTATGAACAATACCTCTTCATCAGGAAAATACGTTTTTAGGGGTTCGTATTCTCCATCTACGGGATTCTCAACAAGGTGGTCTGCCAGTGCTTGTCCCTTGATTGCTTTCTAAGTTACGTAGACAATGTCGAACTCACTCAATAGGATTTTCCACTTGGCTAGCTTGTCAGTGGGCATGAGCTTCTGAAAGATGTATTTCAAAGGATCCATCCTTGATATGAGATATGTAGTATAGGCACAAAAGTAGTGTCTCAGGTTCTGAGCTACCTAGGTCAAAGCATAACAGGTGCACTCTAACAGAGAATACCGGGCCTCGTTACTGAGATAAGAAATGGCTTGTTCCTTCCTCCTCATTTCACCATACTGCCCTAGAACGCAGCCGAAAGCTCCATCCAACACTTCAAGCTAGAGTAATAAGGGTCTACCCGGCTTAGGCGAGACTAAGACTGTTGGTATTGACAAGTACTCCTTGATTCTGTCGAAGGCCTTTTGGCAGTCATCGGTCCATTTAGTAGCGGCATCCTTCTTCAGCATCTTAAAGATTGGCTCACAGATAACTGTAGACTGTGCTATGAATCGGCTGATGTAGTTAAGCCTTCCCAAGAAACTCATCACATCCTTCTTGTTCTTTGGCGGTGGTAGTTCTTGAATGGCTTTGACTTTTGATGGATCCAGTTCTATTCCTCGACGACTCACAATAAACCCAAGTAATTTTCCACCAGGAACCCCAAATGCGCATTTTGCGGGGTTCAGTTTCAGGTTGTACCTCTGCAATCTATTGAAGAACTTCCTTAAATCTTTCATGTAATCAGTGGCCTTCTTGGACTTGATGATGAACTCATCTACATATACCTCAATCTCCTTGTGTATCATATCATGAAAATTGATAGTCATGGCCCTCATGTAGGTGGCCCCTGCATTCTTTAGGCCAAACGACATCATCTTGTAATAGTACATTCCCCACGGTGTAATGAAAGCCGTTTTCTCAGCATCTTCTTCATCCATCCAGATGTGATGATAACCCGCGAAACAATCTACAAATGACTACAACTCGTGCTTGGCGCAATTGTCAATCAAGATTGTGAGCACGTGATTTTTGCCCTATATGATTGCTCCTATAAAATCAAAGAAAATAGACTTTTTCCAATTATTTGCCATTTTATAGGATTTTCTAGGTTTTTTATTTAAATTGTTTGCATTTTGTGCATGTTGAAGTTTATTTAAATCGTGAAAAAATACCAAAACATCATGCATTGCATTTAGGATTTGTTTTTACATATTTTTAGAATTAATCAGTAATTATTTTCTTTATAAAAATTTAAAAATCACAACAATAGCTCATTTTTACATTTTTTGTCTTTTAATTTTAGTTTATTGATTTTCCTCTTTTAATTTAGAATTAAGTAATGTTTATAATTTTTATAACTAGCTAATTAGTTTAATTTCACACATTTGGATAATTTAGGATTTTAATTAAAAGAAAAGGAAAAATTAGAAAATAAAAGAAAGAATTGGAAAAAAAAAATTATCTTGTGAAATTGGGCCAATTCTCACCCAGCCCAGATCTGATCCAAAACTTCCCTTTGACCCAAACCACCCATGAACCGACCCACCTACCCAATCGGACCCCCCTCCACATTAAAATGACCTAGCAACTCCTAGACTTAAAGGGGGGAGAGACCAAATCTTTTTTCTAAAAAAAAAAGAGATAGCAGCGGCGTACATCGAGCAAAAAGGAAAATGAGAGCTCTTCTCTAATCAGACCCCTATAGAAAAACGGCACCCTCTAGCTCCATTATTCTTCTTTTTGATTTCCCAAAAATCACACACAAAAAAGAACCCAGCAGCTCTTTAATTATGAGAACCCAGTAGCTCTCAAATTTCTTCATTTTCTACTGTCTGTTGAAAAGAGTGTATGATTATAAGGATAGCAACCATTTTTAGCTTCATCCTAAAAGAAAGAGAAACAGCCACCCATCTCTAACCTCACTCAAAAATCAAAAAAAAAAAAGAAAAAAAGAGAAGAAGAAGTCGATAAAAAAATATATATATATAATCAGAAGCACGCTTGAAGATTTTGAAAAGGTAGATTCGAAACTAAAAAAAAGATTTAGCTGGGTTGGAAACACACTGTTTGTGCTACTGCTTCGGAACCCCATCAATGGTATTGTGGCTTGTGCTTGGTCCATGCCCGTTGATTCTCTGCGATTAGGTATGTAAACCTTTGCCTAAGATGCTCCATTGATTATGAATGGAAGTCTGAGTTGTTTTGGCTATGTCTGTGCTTAAGTGTTTGAATCGATTGCAGTTATTTTCATGTTAAGCTTAGGCTCTGATTTTTTTTAGGTTGAGATTGTGCTGAAATTATGTGATTTGCATTTAATTAGATCTTATGCAAATTTAGATTCAACCTCATCATGAGTTTAATCTGAGAAGCAAGAGATGAATGTTGAAAGATTGATTTGAATGTTGGTATGTAATTCACTAATAATTTCCGTTTGTTGTTCTGGACACGGATTCAATGGCAAAGAGCGTAAGGATGAAGAATCTCTTCTATTTTTATTTTTATGTTGTTATAAATTTTGCTAAAATAAGGAATTCTTATAAGAACATTAGATAATAAAGTTAACAGAATGTCTTTACCTTGACTGCTTTGTTTCGGATAATGTGACTAAACATTTTTCTTGTCAATCCATCTCATAACCATGGTGACAGAACTTACGAGAAGCTCAAATCGCCAACTTAGACAATTAATCAATTTATAAACATCGTAGCTTGCTTTAGGCGCGATCAATAATAATAATTTATCGTGGCCATGGGTTCGGTTCCTGTAGCATGGTTACGATACGCGAATCTCAATTCGGGGTGCATTTCATGTAATCCGATTATAACAACTTCGAATAATAAAATCATTTGAAATAATTTGAGGCGTGCCATGCCAAATAAAACCCCTAAGCCCATGGCCCTCACAAAACTAGTTAGCTTTTATAAAAAATTTGAGGTGTGCCATTTTCATGAAATAACCCATGGCCCTCACGTAATTAATACTAATTCTTTAAAAATTGGGGTGTGCCATCAATTGAATTTTCCATGGCCTCGCAAACTTTGTTAAGTGCGTAGTTGCTTTAGGGGTGCAATTTAAATTAATTTCCTTAAACTCAGGTGTGCATTTCATGTGACCCAACTCCAATTCTCAACAACGTTAAATAAAATGTGTCGTGGACCACGGGTGCATTTCATGTGGCGTGGTTCAATGCGTGTTTTAAATAATGTTGAATCTTCCCAAAATTAATTAAAAGTGGCTAATAAGTTAAAATGTACCATAGGCTAAAACATGTAATAAAATCAGATAATATGTCAATTATAATAGTTTAAAGCGACCGCGCTAGAACCACGGAATCCGGGGGTGCCTAACACCTTCCCTCGGGTTAACAGAATTTCTTATTCAGAATTTCTGGTTCGCAGACTTCAAAAGGAAAGTCAAATTTTCCTCGATTTGGGATTTAAAATAAACTGGTGACTTGGGACACCATAAAATATTCCAAGTGGCGACTCTGAAAAATAAATAAATAATCCCATTTCGATTTATGTCACTTTAATTGGAAAAACTCCCTTATATCACCTCTCGGGTGGTAAAAAGGAGGTGTGACAAGGATGTGTATGTTCGATAAAGGGAAGTCATTTTTCGGACTGGCCCGGTTGAGATCCCGGTAGTCGACACAGACTCTGACCTTCCCATCCTTCTTTGGCACTGGCACGATGTTGGCTAGCCATGTAGGGTATTCTACTACCCTGAGAACCTTAGCTTTGACTTGCTTAGTGACTTCTTCCTTGATTTTCAAACTCATATCAGACTTGAACTTTCTGAGCTTTTGCTTTACCGGAGGACATGTCGAATCAGTTGGCAGTTTGTGAGCCACAATAGACGTACTCAGACCAGTCATGTCATCATACGACCAGGCGAATATGTCCTTGTATTCATTTAGAAATTCTGTGTATTCCTTCTTTTCTGACGGCGATAAGTGGATGCTGATTCGTGTTTCCTTGACGTTTTCTGCGTCTCCCAAGTTAACAATTTCTATCTCGTCCAGGTTGGACTTGGGTCTGTTCTCAAAGTTCTCAACTTCTTTGACAATCTCATCTGGTATGTCATCTTCCTCTGAATCAATGTCTGTTTGTTGCGTTGTCTCATTGCATGTCACAGTCATTGGTTCATCAAGATAAGTAATAGTAATGTTGTATAAGTAAAGTAACGAGAGAAAAATAATAATGAGTGTTGATTCATAAGAAAAGTCAAAATGCTTTGATAAATTGCATAATTGTTTTGAGCATTGAAGATCTTATTGCCGGAATTAAAAATGCGAAAAGAAAATCATTTATTAAATAAAAAACAGTGCATGTTGCTTGTTTTAGCCTTGCTACCCCGAGGCTCGCCGGGCTCTGGTTGTCTTGATAGTCCAGTTATTGAGGCGTTCCCCTCTGCTCACAGCTTGTATGGAAAGGCCTTCCTCCCCCTCCTCCTCGAGAACAACACAACAATCCATGTCATTGTCTTCGAGGGACAAGTTCTTCACCGTGGCCAGTGCTTCTTCTTTCTCTGACTTATAAACAATGTCGGCCTGCTGGAAAGTCTGCTCCAAACGCGGTATTGGCTGCTCCAGTGGATAGTAAGGACCACGCCATGGTGGTGACCAGTTGTTGAATTCTTCCCAGGTGTACTCATATCCCAGACCGAAAGTGGTGCCATGTTTCTTGAGCTTTATGGGCTTAGCGATTCCTTGGAGGTTCTTTCTGAGCCCTTTGCCAGGTTCGTACCTACTCCAGTTCAGTATACTCTCGATTTTGTTATCACACCATTTATCTTTGTCAACAGCATTTACCCTTTCAATGTGGTGGTAAGTCTCTCCACCTAACTTCCTTCTTCCTTCGATTGCCGGAATGGTCTAGCGATTGTATATAGGGTTGCTACCATCGTCGTGAATGATCACCTCTTGATGATTCCATTCGAATTTTACTGCCTGATGTAGTGTTGATACTACAGCCCCAGTAGCATGAATCCATCGCCGTCCCAACAGTAGGTTGTAAGATTCCAGCACGTCTATCACCTGGAAGTCGACATCGAACCATGTTGGTCCCATTTGCAAGCATAGGACAATCTCACCAATGGTGAACCTTTGAGATCAATTGAAGGCTTTCACATTTATTGCTCCATCCTTTATCTCGTGCAGTCCTTTACCCCAACTTCTTGAGTGTTACTAGTGGACAAATATTGATACTGGAACCTCTATCGATTAGGATTCTGGTGATAAACTAGTCCTCGCATTGCACAGTGATGTGCAGTTCCTTGTTGTGGCCCAAACCTTCAGGTGGCAGCTCGTCCTTGTGAAAGGTAATCTTATGGCTCTCTAACACTTGTCCTACCATGTTGGCCATCTCCCCGCCAGTGATGTTGCTTGGTACGTATGCTTCACTCAGTACCTTTAGCAGAGCATTCTTGTGTGCCTCAGAATTTTGTAGCAAAGCAAGAATGGAGATTTGTGCTGGTGTTTTCTTCAACTGGTCGATGACTGAGTATTCCTTGCCTGTATCTTTCTCCAAAGATCGTTTGGACCTATCTCAATGATGGGTGGTCGGTTGGAGGCCTGCTTGCTTGACTCATCTAGATGTTCAGGGGTATAGACTCTACCGGTTCTTGTCATACTCTGCGTTGCAACAGTCTCTTCGAACCTGACCTTGCCTTTCCACCTTGCCTCGGCTGTATAGTCCCAGGGTACAACCTTTGTATGGAATGGTGTCATGGTCGATATCGCCACTGGGATTGGTGTGGCTACCTTTACTCTGAACGGAGCATGTGCTTTGGGTGGTAAAACTACAATTTCAAACGGTGTTGGTGCATTTGCCGGAGACACGAATTCAACCTCAATTGGTGCTAGTGTCTTTGCAGACGATGTCGCTTCAAACTCGAGTGGTACAGACATATTTACTTCAGCGTCCCTGGATGGTTGAATCTGTGAGCACGTGATTTTTGCCCTATATATGAATTATTCCCAAAAACTCAAACAAAATAATTTCTTTCATTATTTGGCAATTTTGCGAATTTTTTGGCATTTTCTGGTAATTGTTGCATTTTAGTTGTGCATGATCAATTCATATAAAATACAAAATATGCATTTTTCATTTAGGATCTAATTTCATATGTTAGTATTAATCAGGGATTAATTTGTTTTATAATAGAATATATGGAAAATAACAAAAATAGTCTACTTTTGCATTTTTAATTGTTTAATTGCGAATTCGTCCCGGAATAGTTTTTAAAATAATTTTAGGAATTAATTAGTTTAATTTTGAAATATATTAGGACTTTATTTTTAATTTTTACAATTTTATAAAATTAAAAAAAATATATACAAATTGAAATACAAAAATTAAATACAAGAAACAAGGGAAGAGAAAGGAAAGTATTAAAGAGAAGGGTTGCCCATGATTTGGGCCAATTAATATCCTAGCCCAATCTCAAAACAATCCACCCAGGCCCAGTTATGCCCAACCCGGTCCGGTCCCAAGAGGAGCCAAACGACGTCGTTTCTCAGTGCACCAGATCTCAGCCGTCGAGGTTGTTAGATCGAACGGTCCAGAAGCCCCCACTCTTTAATACATATATGTCTGAATACTACCCCCACCCCCTCAATCGTCTCTCACCCCACGTCTCTAAGAGACCAACAACGAGCCCTAAGCCTCGCCGGAATCCTCGCTGGCGGCAAACGCAACCAACGCCAAAAGCCACCAAAAATACACCCCAGTTTCCCCCGCTCATCCTCTTTCCAACCCTACCTCTGGTTTCTTTCAAATCACGGCCGAATCCCTCGAATGTCCATTTGAAGGTTTCCGGCCAGTTCGTCACCTATGCCAAATAACCCCAAATTTACACCCTGTGACCGCCTGGACCTCCTCTACCCAATCCCCATGTCCTTGTCTCTCGAATCTACCCGGAGCAGCTCGAATGTTAAATCGAAGGTTTCCGACCAAGGCCCTAAGGCAAAATCTCCATGATTTCGGACCCTAACAACCCTAACCAGGTGTTTTCTTATGAAAACACATGGTTAGGGATGTTACGGGTCAGAAATTTCAAGGGATTTGGAGAAGCAACCACCGGTCGGAGCTCTTTGTAGTCGGTGAATTCTTAGCGGTATTTCCTTTTACTTTCAATTTCTTTTTCCTTTTTGACCTTGCTGCATGTGTGAATTTCATGGTCAATGTCTAGTTTAATTTGTGTTTTAAATTTTTGAGGTATATTCAGAGCTTAAGAAACTGTCTTGGTTAGAGCTGTAGTTTTAGCTTAAAATTCAGGGGTAGTTTAGACATTTAGGATGGGGCAGCACATGGTAGTTGAAACTAGAATCTTCTAGGGCCTTCTAGGGTGGTACTTTAGTGTAGATTTCAATAATTTTAGTGGGATTACTTGGGTAACAAGTTAGAAAATAAGGGACTAACTAAATAAAAGAAGAGGGACCTATGGTGCAATTAATAGATTTCAAGGCTGCCCATTTGTGCCTATAAAAGGGCAATGCCTTTGCCTTGAAGGGGGTTGTTTTTTTGGCCACCAAAATTTCCCCAAAAACAGTACTCTTCCAGTTTCAGATCTGGAATTCAAATTTCATATCCAAATTTGCTTCTAGCTCTTAGTTCTTAAAAAAAATACAAAAACAAACAAAATCTAGTAGAAACCAAAAAAAACACTGTTTTATTCAATTTTCTAGCTGAATTCTAGTTTTGGTAGCTGAATTACATTCCTGAGTTCATTTTTGGTAATTTGAAAATTCAGAGAGTTTTCTGTTGGATTTCGAGTAATTGTGAGAGTTCATTCAATCTGTTTTGGCCAATTTAATTGGGTTTTCTGATTGCTGAAGTTGTCTCTGGAGTATACTGTTGTGATTTCGAATAGTTATAGGCATAATTGAACTGGTTTTATTGAAGTTTTGGGTTAATGAAGGTTGTAGAGGGTGCTGGTTTCATTTGTGTTGGTTTTGGTGCTATTTTGGTTGATTGGCTGTTTGTGTTTGGTTTCAAATCACTTCTGGGCTGTTGAATTTTCTGGATTGCACCTGATTACTGCCGCTGATTTCCTCTTCTTCTTCTTACATTTCATATCCAGGTACACATTTTGAAATCACTGATGTAGCTTTCAATTGGATTGAAATGAAGTAATGTTCCAGATTCGTGTTCATTCGAGTAGTTGAAATCAGTCCAAATGACATTTAGTTGCATAGCTTTAATCTGTTTGAGTTGCAATGGTTGTTAGTTGTTTAATTAGGATTGTCTGTTTAAGGATTGATTTGGAGTGTTTAATTTGTGCTGGACTGTATAATTGAGACTGTCTTAGGCGATTGGAACTGTTTTGGCTATCATTTTTGTAATAGACTGATAATTAGCCCAGAGAATCGGTGTGCAATAGTTAGACTTGGAACGACATTACTTGTAGTCAATTTAGTTCATTCCCTTAGTTTAAACGCTTGGAACCAGAGCATAATCCGAGTTGGACATTGATTCAGGCATTGTGCATTTGTAGCAATGATCTAGTGTTCGAACTGTTAAGAGTAAGAACATAAACATCAATTGTAGTGTTAATAATTCCAGGCTTGATATCACATCTGTATGCAACTAGATCCCTGTTAATATAAAGTTAAACTCGAAACCAATTGTGATTTGGTATTGATACACCAGTAGAGTCATAGTTTAGTGTCAAGCATATTGTTCTGCGTTACTGGCCTAACTCATACATAGAAATCTGTAGGCTTTAATTTCAAGTATATTAGTTTAATTGGTTTAAACCGTTCAGATATTCGAGCCAATGAGATGCAAATGTTACTAAATTGAAAATTGGTTGGGTGCTCTAAAGATGTTGATTTTGTTATGCATTAAAGCCACATGCTACATATTAAAGAACTTGGGCTCATGTTAGAGGCCCAACACGCGACTGTTTTCTTTGAAGTAAGATTTGGGCCTGAATCCATTTTGGGCTTTGAAATAATAAATGAGCCGAGCCTCGCCAAATATAACACACAAATTACGGGGCCCTCAATAAATATTGTATTAATTTTTAGACTTCGGGATGATCCGTTTAGCGAATTTCACGGCCTCCCCAAAATAATAATACGTTAGACTCTTTAGGCGCGATTTTAATAAAATTACATTCCTAAACTCGGGTGTACATTTATGTGACCCAAATCCAAATCTCAACGGAGTCGAAATGTGTTGACGACCACGGGTGCATTGATTGCGATATGGTTCTAGACGCGTTTTCACGACGTTGCAATTCTTTTAAAAATGATAAAAGTGGTTTACGAATAAAAGGCACATAAGCTAGCATGTATTAAAATCAGATAAAATCCAATACAACAGTTAAGCGACCGTGCTAGAACCACGAAACCCGGGAATGCCTAGCACCTTCTCCCGGGTTAACAGAATTTCTTATCCGGATTTTTGGTTTGCGGACTGTAATACAGAGTCAGTATTTTCCTTGGTTCGGGATTAAACCGGTGACTTGGGACACCATTAATCACCCAAGTGGCGACTCTGAAATTTTAATAACCAAATCCCGTTCCGATTGTCCTTTAATTGGAAAAACTCCATTATACACCCTTCCGAAGGTGTAGGTAAAAAGGAGGTGTGACAGAATCTGTACTATGATTGGATTAAGAGTAATTGTTGGCTTCTTTGGGTCATCACCTTCTACGATTACCCCGATTGATCCCTCGGGATCCCAATCATCCTCTATTTCAATCATGTGGACACCTCCACCTTTGTGGTCTAGCAGAGGGTTGTTGCGGACATTTGGAGTGGGTTCCTTTGCCACAATAATCTTGTTATCAATTAAAGTCTGGATCTTGTTTTTCAAGGAATGGCATTCGTTGATGGTGTGCCCTTTCATGCCAGAGTGGTATGCACAGGATTTTTTTTGGGTTAACATACTGAGAAGGGTTCACAAGAGTTTCAGTAGGGATAGGGGTGACATAACCAGCAGCTTTGAGTCTCTCGTACAACTGGTCAATGGGTTCAACAATGGTTGAATATTGTTTTGGAGGTCTGCGATCAAAATTAGGTCGGGGTCTATGGAAGTTTTGGTGTGCAGGAGGTGATTGATAGTGGGATGGTTGAGCATTATAGGTTTGGTAGACATGAGCGGGTTGGGAGTATCTGGGTGAAGTAGGTTGATATGTGGGAGGTGGAGGTGATTGATAAGTGGGTGGTAGAGCTTGGTATGAGGGTGAAAGTGTTTGGTAATTTGGGGTTGGCTGATATATGAGTGGTGGTGTTCGGTAAGTTTGGTATTTGATGGGGGATTCGGTTCTCTGTGCAACCATTATGGCCCCTACGTCCCTTTTTTGGACACACCACCAGACTGGAAGGCCTTATTTGTAGCTTGTAAGGCCTCGAAGTTTGTAACCATTCCGCTTTTGATACCCTCTTCAATCATTTCACCCAGTTAGATAATGTCGAGAATTTGTGGCTCTCGATCATCATCAGTCGTTCATAATACTGTGGGTCCTGAGCTGGGACAAAGAATTTGTTCATCTGTTCTTCCTCTAAGGTAGGTTTGACCTTAGCAGCTTTGGACCTCCAACGAGTAGCATACTCGAGAAATGTTTCTGTAGGCTTCTTCTTTAGATTCTGAATATAGAACACATCTGGCGTATTCTCTGCGTTAAACCTGAACCTGTCCATAAAGTCGGATGTCATGCTTACCCAGCTTGACCACTTCTTTGGATCTTGGCTGATGTACCGGGATAACGCATCTCCTTTCAGACTCCTCATGAACAACTTCATGCGAATTCTCTCGTATTTCCCTACTCCAACCAGCTTGTCGCAGTACGTCCTTAAATGGACCCTTGGATCACCTGTACCGTCAAACATTTCGAACTTCGGAGGTTTGTACCCCTCGGGCAATTCGATGTCGGGCTGTATGCAAAGATCTTCATAGTTCAGCCCCTCAATTCCCTTGCTTCCTTCAACGCTTTGAATTCGGCTAGTCAACATCTTAAGTTCCTCAGCCAAGTTCCTGATGAGCAGGTCTTTTTCATCAGACTCGGGTGTGCTTGAGATAGGTTGTATGGAGTGTGGCATGGTCTCCATGTAGATAGGGGTGTTATGGTGGGTGTGAAAGTGGCCATTTGTGGAGTTTTGGAGTTCTGGGATGAGTAGTGGAGTGTTGTTTGGGGTATGGCAGGTGTTGCATTGGGTCTTTGGTAGAATAGTGTGAAGAGCGGGATGATTATGTTGCTTTGGGATGTTTTGAGGTGGTGTAGGGTTTTGAGTATTGGGAAAGGTGATATCTGAGGTGCTCAGGGAAAATGACAGGCTTGCCAGATTCCGAACTTGATCGAGCTCTTCTTGGAATTTCAACAACTTTTGTTCAAGTTGGGATACATTCTCCTTAGGAACCTGAGTACCATGGCCATTTGTGTCCTCTACCCGTTCAATCGGATTCTCCTTTCTGACGTTGTTCAAATTTCCATTTTGCCCTTGTTCTTGTTTTTTATAGGACTAAGAGGATGAGTGGGTGGAGGACCCCTGGATCTCGTGGAATAGGATGATATTGCCAGAGTGCACGAACTAACCTTTAGGGAGGGAAATAATAAAAACAAAAACAAAGAATGAAACAAAAGGTAACCAAGTTAGTGAGGATCATAAAAAGTATTGCAGTATTTAAATACATAGTGCGGGAATTTAAATCGTGTCCTAATTTGGGGAACTCTTTGTGTCCGAGGTAGGCCTAGCGACAAATTTGCTTTGGAGAAATTAGAATGCTAAATGCCTCATTTTATTGATAGAAATAGACGAATCCCAAATCAACACTAAATAAACAAGAAGTAAAAGTCACTAATGGCCATGGCCTTATTACATTTATAAAGCAAAAAGATAAACTCCTATCTATTTGGTCCCAGAAAGACCTTCCCCAGATTTGGCATCCTTGGCTCTGTCGAACAGCTTTCCCAACTCGTGAAGTCTCAGCAACAGGTATGCTCTGGCTCGGTGTCCCCCTTCTGTCCCTTCAGCATTTTGACAATCTTCGACCCTTTTGAGAAAATTTCTCTCCGATTCCACTATGCCTCGCTCTAAGTATCCTAGTCGTTTGTTGGCACTAACAACCATGTCCTTCCATTCCACAATCAACTTCTGGTTGGACTCTTGTATTTCAAGGTGTTCACTTTCGCACTCACGGATCCTTTTGTGCAACTGGTTGTATTTGACTTGTGCCTCGGCCCTTTCATCTATAATCATGTGGCCTCGAGCAAACCCTGGTTGGCCCAGACCATCATGATTGTCTTCCAACCAACCTGAGTAGAAAGGAGCGCAACCAGCATGATACTTGTCTGTCTCGATGGTATCTCTCCCCATTATTATCTTACTGTGCCACATATGCTGAGCTTGGCACTTGTAAGGGCTATCATCATTCTGGAAGTCAGCCCGGAAATGATTCATCTTGTCGACCCTGGGTATAACCTGCTTCCTACCAGCTTGCCTCATAACTCGGAGAGGGACGTAAGGGTATGTTCCCCTCAGATAGATTAGTATAAAGAAAGGTGCATCTCTGGATCGGGCGATGAACTCCTCGGTCGGAAACCACTCGAACGTCCATTGGACCCATTCCTCAGTCAGATTATCAAATAGTTCAACCCATACTTTTGCATCCTCCGACTGAGCAAACATATTGGGGATGTAATTCATTCTCTTTGGATGATGGAAAGTGATGTGATCATCCCAGTCCTTTCGCTGAATCTCTTGTCGGTATTCGCCCCTTTGGAGGTGCTTCATGAGCCAGAGTTGAAGTAATAAATTGCAGTCTTCGAAGTGTTTTGCTCCTCGTTGACACTTCTCCAAGGCTCGATATATGTCTGCAAGGATCATGGGCATGATGCTGAATGGTTGCCCACCAATCCCTTCCTTTAGGGTCTTAGTTACCATGGCCATCCTGGTGTGGATTCTTGATTTCTTCGTCGGAAACACGATCAGCCCAAGAAACAAAACATGAAGACTTAGACCCTTTGATGGACGTGCCCCAAAGATGTGATGCCAAACTTGTCAGGGTAGGTAAGGTAGGATTTGTTGTGACCGTACCTTTCATACAAGTAGTCAAAAGGAATGTAGGATTCCTTCAGACATGTCAATTCTGGATTCTTCTTTAAACCCATCATTTTGAGGAAACCCCTGCCTTTGTGGTTCTCCGGCATCAGCAGACCCGGAGTTTCCCACACTAGACCGGCCAATCCTCCTATATAATCTAGCAAGGGTGTCATTTCATTGTCTCCAAAGAGGAATACAACCCTTTTATAATCCCAAAATAGTGTGGCGGCTTCTATGATCTTGTTATTAGGTTGGATCTCCAAAAGGGGATGTTAGATTTCCCAGATATTTTCGAATGAGGGTTTGATTACTA